ATGCACACATGTCAAGACAACGATAAGCTTAGATTTAAAATTATAACGCGCTATAAGATCGGGTTAAAAGCGAACGGAATAAGCAAGTGTGGTTATATCCCGAATTTACTTACGGAGGATTAGAAAAGACTGCTCCTCCAGTGCTCCTGTTACTTGAGGCATTGAACAAAAAGGGTGCAGGCTGGTTCGCGTCCCCAGACTTGAAGGGTGCAGGTTGGTTGGCGTCACCAAACTTGAAGGGTGCAGCAGGTTGGTTGGCGTCACCAAACTTAAAGGGTGCAGTCGGCTGATTAGTTGCTGGAGTAGAGGCTGCGCTGGGCGGTTTCGCGAAGAGAGTACCTGTTTGAGAATTTAATCCAATTGGCGGCGTAACGTTCTCTTTCATTGTAGCACCAAAAACGAACGTAGGTGCCACGGAGTTCGCTGAGTTGGATGTAGATGGAATTCCGTTCAGGTTACTCGCGGGCGCAGACGAAGTACTTCCAAATTTGATTTGTCCAAACAATGAATTAGATGCTGGCAAGGCAGGTTGGGTCCCGTTTGATGCCGAACCAGCTGAAGTGTTCACGGCCGAGTCCACTGGCTTAGGTGATAATCCGTATGCCAGGGAGGTGGATGGCTTTACAACAGAGAAATTAGCCGACTTAAAACCAAGAGTAAAGTTAGCGGACGCGGATACGATGGGATTGCCCGACTTACTTTCCGTAATAGGTTTATTTAGCACGGGCGTAGAGGTAGTCGGAAAGGCAGAGAAACTGAATGCAGGGGACTGGGAGGTGACTGACGAAGCTGTAGACGCACTGTCGGCACCGAAAGAAAAGTTTGGTACTGCAGATGCGGTTGTTTGGGGCACGGCAGGAGCTCCGAATTTGAATGGCGTAGCCTTTATGTGAGATATAATCACAGGTGGTGACGAGGAAGCCTGACGATCGGTTGACGTACTGGGACTGCCGAAGGAGAACTTAACAGATGGCGTCTGAAGAGCAGCGGAACTCACCCCGTCCGAGTGTGGTCTTCTGGTTTCACAACAAGGACATTTATCGATTGTCGACTTGTTTGTCACCAAACAACTAGGACAATTCCATGTGGAGGCGACTGAGCTGCCAAAATGGCCGTACACATTGGAAGAACCTGGAGCACTCGACATCGGAGGCTTTTCTGACTGACTCGAAGAAAACCCTCCAAAACGAAAAGACGGTACGGCCGGTGCCGACGATTTTTCGCCCGAAGAGACTCCAGGCCTTTTAGTCTGACAACAA